ATATATATATATATATATATATATATTTTTTTTTTTTTTTTTTTATCTCCACTTTAGGAAGTGTTTTTTTTTTAAATAACATGGTTAAATCAAGTCATCTGGACAGATTCCTCTTTTTTGACCTTCTTCCAGATGTCTTCTACCTGGATTATTGAGCATGCATCATGACATTTTTTTTTAATATTATTTTTGTCACCAAAACACCCTAACGCCCTGTCACACCCTAATACTTTAGCTCAGTAATCTCATGAGACTTATAACTTTTTTCCTAACTGAAGCTATCTATAGCAGGTAAGATATTTACTGTTCATAACGTTTCCACAAGAGCCTACATGAGAGAGTCTGAACTACTGCTGGAATTAAATGAACAAATTACATTTAGATCTGATTTTGAACAAACCTTTTCATCCAAACTTTTTTTGTTTGTTTGTTTGTTTCCAGCTGTTGAAGACAGGAAGCTGTTCATCGGCATGGTGTCGAAGAAGTGCAACGAGAACGACATCCGGGTCATGTTCTCTGCGTTCGGACAGATCGAGGAGTGCCGGATCCTCCGAGGGCCCGACGGGCTCAGCAGAGGTACCTGTCGCTCTCTGACTCACCTCCATCCAGACTCGCTGCACCTCATGTCAATATAACTGCCTGAACGGCCTCTGCAGCTGCAGTTCATTGTCGTGTAGTCGGTAAAGTCATAACCAATACTCACCTCTGAACTTCGTGACTGGTTGAAAACAATCTGAGACAATTGATTATTTATTTTTATTATTATCTATTTACTGCAAAGCAAAATAGGATGCATTTATATAGGCGCTGTTGGCATGAACACAGAAATGCAAAGAGAGAGATTGATTTTTATTTATTTTTTACCACACTGCCATGAAAAACAGGCTATTTTGTAATTCCATGTGTTTTTGTCTATTAGCAAAATATCTCATGTACCTGTGGGTGGAGTTTTATGAAACTTTCAAAATGTAAAACCTGGATGTGTAGCTACGTTTGATTGCCTTTTGAGTAAACCACAACTCAAGACGACTTTCACAGCTAACCATATTTAGAAAACACAAAATAGCACTTTGACGGTCAAATCAGCTGCATTTCAAAACCCGATTTGCGTAAGCGTGCACGCGCAGAGAGACAAGCTGCTGTTCATTTCTTCGAACTTTAACAAGATAACTACCAAAAAATATTTATTTATTTGTTTGACTTTGTAGTAAACGTGCGTCTCAGTCTAACGTTTGCTTAATAAAAGGACTTTAACGGACAAATCAGCTGTATTTCAAAAGTATTTGCTGCCTCGGTGCTCCGGGAGCGTGCAGACAGGGAGGAAAAAAGAACGAGGAACGCTGCTCGTTTCTTCAAAATTTAACAAGAAAAGCACCTAAAACAATTTGTTTGCTCAACATTATAGCAAAGGTGTGTCTCAGTTTAACTTTTACTTAATAAATGCACTTTAATGGTCAATATTACTGCATTTTGCTGGGGCAGCACAGCAAAATGAATCTGGTTTGACAGTTGCTCCAAGCGAGCAGAACGAAGGTGTCATCTATGGCAAGCCGATCGTGTCATTAATAGCTGGTGAAGATTCTCAGTCACCCAGGACATGGTAAATTCAAAAAAGTTCAAGACAAAAACAATAAAGTATAAAGTATAATAAATAAAGTCCAGTTGTTCTGAACTTGTTTGAATTTGTCCTTATAGTCACGTTTACTTCAGTGTTTCCCCTACCATTATACAGGCAGGGTGCCCCACCCCGCCTACCAAACTGAACTTGCCCCTCCCACCCCCACCCGGCACTGACATACCACTTAGCTAACAGCGCAAAATACAGGCTCTCTAGCTAAAAAGCCAAAGGCAGCACTCACATTGCCTCTTCCCTCATGTTGAACGCCCCTGCCCCCGCTCAAAAATTGTTAGTACAAGCTGCACTCAGACATGACTCCGTCAACCCAAAAGTAAAAATCATGGATGAGATGAGCACCCCGCCATAGCAAGCTAACTAGGGGAAACACTGTACCTATTACATGACACAACAGCATGCCTTACTGCTACTTCTACTCTGTTTCTATCTAGTGGCTAAAAGTGGTACTGCTCAATGTTTTTTCAGTCAGACTGAATGAAAAAATATATATATATATATCTCAGCCAAAAATTGGTTTATAAATATGGGGAAAAAAATCCATAAATACGTTGCTACGGCCTATAAGTTGCAGGGCATGTAAATTATGCAACAACAACAAAGAAAATAAAACAGCGAAACATACGGTATTAGGAGTAACATCATTAAAAAAAATATTTGTTTGAAACTTAGATGTGCACGGTGGTGGGCGACATGCAGTACTGAAGGAATACTACTTTTTTATGCTTTCTGGAGTGTAGATTTTGTTTAAACTCCACATTTGGTGCATCATGATGTGGTAGAGACTTGTGGGAAACATTTCTGAAGGAAATGATGTTAAACTGCTTTGTGTATTGAGTTTTCTATAAAAATCACAACACAATTTTCTGTCCCCCATCGTGTTGGGAAAAGGAGGAATTGGAAGTACATTTCTGATTTCATCCGTGTATGTTTGGAGCACATTAGCTTGAAAAATAAATGAAGTGCACACTTCCATATTGATGTGTTGCAGCCTCTAGCTGTAAGAAAGGTTCCTTTTGAAAACTGGGATGCCATATCAAAATCCAAGATGGCTTCCGCCATATGTGTCCGTCTGTCTTTTGAGCTAAATAACTTGGAAAAACAAGCAACGTGCCGACTTCCATTTTAGTGTGAGGCTGGATCAAGGAGAAAGTTCACTATGGAAAACTGGGTTGTCAGATCAAAATTCAAGACGGCCGCTCCTATCAGGGGAGTGATAGGAGTGGCCCTGAAGGATCTGGGGAGTCAGAGGTGGCCAAAAATTAATCTATGGTGACCACTGCCACCACTGGCCACCCTCTGGCTCCACCATTGTGCCTGCTCGTGGATACAATTGCTCCCTCCACTCACGAGGATCCTTCACTTTGCACTGCCTAGGACAAGAAAAAAAAAAAAAAAAAATATATATATATATATATATATATATATATATATATATGTATATATATATCCCTGTTCTTCTACACAGTGTGAACTAAAACATCGTATACAAATAACATTAAGGTTTATATTCCCTTTTAAATTCCAGTCCAAAAACACTAATCTTAACTACAAACATTCACAATTCAGGTCCCTCAGCGACGAGGGACATACCGCTTACTACCAATTTGTCTACATCTAATTTGGACATGGAGTAAGGTTTTTGTCTTTAAGTCGTTGCTGATCAAGTTGATATTGGTCCTGAATAAATACTGGGAGGAAATGGGGTGTATATTTTAGTTTTTGGGAAGAAAAAAAACAAATGTTAATCAGGCGTGTCCTTCTTTTATTTGTTGTCAATGCAGATGATATCACCACCTATTGGCCTGGCATGGGTATTGCAGCTTTACATATAAACTTTCCAGAGTATCATTGGAGGCTTAAAAAGCTATGTAGTTAGACTCAGTGTTGTAATACAAAAGCATGGCAGAGACAAAAATGGAGCCGCTTACTCTAAATACATTGTCTCAGATTCTGTTTTTAACCAGCTGCTGCTTTTAAAACTGTGAATTTATTGTTTTTAAATGTATGTGCAGAGTTACATTTAAATGAACTGTTGCAACATCTTGAGGCTGTTGTCACTGTGAATACATGCTTCTTCCTTTTTGCTCTATATATCTCTTTTCCCCACCTTTCTTTTTTCTCTCCTCCTTGCTTTCTCAGCCTCGACCCCCTGTCACCCCTCCCCAATGATCCCACTTTTCCTCCTCTAAACCATTTACATTATTGAAGTTTACCACAAGCCATAAGCATTTCATCAGGCCTACTGTCCAATTTAAGAGGCAAGTTGATTTTTCAGTGTAAAAAGCTGATTTAATTCAAAGCCATCTTCAATCTCAAAATTAAACAAGCTTGAGAATTGTAGCATTGTTTGAGTTGTGTAAGATTACACAGAAAACTGACAAAGAAGTAAATATTTCTGAGTACAATCTTTCAAAGAAGAGACAAAAAAGGCAGACATGGCGATGCACATGACTAGGCCTGTCGCAGTAAACAATAAATCAATTAATCGCATGATAAATGAAAATTATCAACCTCATTTTTATGTATCGGCTTTATTGTTTCATCGTGTCTCTCTACTTCTCAGCTGAGAAGCTAAGCTACAAGCTAAGCTAACAGGCCGACCTCAGGGGAAAAAACCTCCGTCTTGTCAAAGCTCCAAAATTTACGGTTGAAACCCGTGCCTTTGTGTAAAAAGTTGCTTTTCTCAGCAAAAAGAAGCTGAAAACTTGTTTACTGATTTTTTTTTTTTTATTAAATGCTTTGTGTGAAAAATGCTATGCTAAAGAGCTCAAATTACACTGAGCGTCCACCATTTTGAGAACCCAAGAGAGACAGCCCATGTCACGTCAAGGGGCCTCCCTCCCATTTTTCTTAAAGAGACACGCTGCTCGCTCCCTCACTATCCATCCTTCAGTTCAAACAGTCTTATACTGCCATCCAGTGGTTGAAAAAAGGTATTACACTCAAAACAAATTAAACGTTTCCTCTTAAATTTGACAATAATGACTAATTATTGTCAAATTTCAAACAATATTATCGTTTATCGCAATAATTTCTGAGACAATTAATCGCCCAGCAAAATGTGTTATCGTGACAGGCCTACACAGGACAAAATTTGAAACACCAAAGAAGCATCGCTAAATAAGATAAAACCCCAGTCCAAAAGTTAGGTTGGGTGCAAAATATTGACCAAAAAACATCCATGAATTTACCAAATGTGAGGAGTTTCCAAATGTAAAGCAGCTTCTTAGAAGAAGGAGGAAATAAAAAACATGTTTTATTACCGGATAGTTTAAAACCCAGCCAACCAAGGCAGACTGTGAAGCCATATGTGATCGTTACATTCATATCAACTATTCTTTGTTATCCCCTCTGTCAGCCAGGAGCATAACTTGCACTGATTTGTCCATTCTGCAACTTGGCAGGGAGACCTTCATTGTGGGGCAATAACGCCCAACATTTCCTTAAGTTTACTATAAATTATAAGGATGTTATATTCCAAGTACTGTTATTGATTTAGGCGATCCTGACACAAGAAGTGTGTTGAGCACTGTCATGAAAAAAAGACAAACGTGAGAAAATGGATGTGTATTGTAGCTGATATGGTCATTGCAATATTCACTTACACCACAATTGCGTAGTTAATGTCGTACAATGCCAATGAATGCCTGATTCTTTCCACAATTACACAAACATGCCTACCCACCCATTTTCAGGCCATCCTCCCTTACTCCCTGCCTCCCCCATCTTCCTACCCCCTTGTGGTTTCTTCGTGCCGAGGAGATGGGAGAGCTTTACTGATTCCTCCTCCTCCTGTCAAACAATCTGTTGCTGTCATCGTCACCCAGGCTCCATGTTGATCTGTTGGTCGCATCGCCTTTTTTTCTGTGGTTTGTCGCGTGTTCTGGATGTTTTATTGTTGACTTGGGTCTTGCTTTCTCGATGTGACTCTTCTCTCCTCCTCAAGGTTGTCTCATTCCAGACTGGACTAAACTAGGCTTCTCAGATTTTTCGAACAGCGCCACTTCCCTCGTCTCTGAATTCACCCTGGCTGTCCTAGAATCCTCTCCCATATCAATTTGTCCTCTT